ATATATATATATATATATATATATATATATATATATATATATATATATGTATATATATATATATATATATATATATATATATATATATAGAGAGAGAGAGAGAGAGAGAGAGAGAGAGAGAGAGAGAGAGAGAGAGAAGAGAGAGAGAGAGATACAATGCGATATATAAGAAACATTGATATTCCTATCTTTAAAATAGATTTCCTTGTATTTTTATTCAAAAAAAAAAAAAAATTCAGTCATGGGTCAATGAAACTACACTTACATTAGAATTTTTATTAAATCCGAACATTATAAATCTACACATCTAAGCTAACAATTCGTGTTGTTGTTCATCTTAAAGGTTAACGGAATCCCATGAGCGGTCGCTTGCCCTGGCGCTTGAGGGCAATCTTGTTTCCGAAGATTCCTCATGGCTATTTGGCATTTACTGAAACCGTAAAGAGCAAAGCCAAAAATGCGTGTTGACAGTTACTGAAGTAGCTCTTGTTGAGGGACATGTTTGACTGCAGTGTGTGTGATTGCGTTCGTATTATGAAGAAGAAGTTTCAGCTGCCTTGGTCCTTTGTGTACTGTACATGATTTGTCGAAACTCTATTTTTTTTCTTTTTTTATTTACGTAACAAAAGCTTAACTACGTACATATACTAAATGCATTTTAGGAACTTATCACATGCTTATAATGATTATTACAATTGTTTGGCTTTTCTGGTGTATCTCATTTTCTTAGTCCCCTTTTCAATCTTATTTTCATTATCTTTAAAGATATGTCACCAAATGTTATCAACATTAACATAAAACAACAAAAACTAACTCCCCACGTCTTTGTTTTTTGGTAATTTTGAACTCCATGACACATTAATTCATCATATATTTATTACGTGTCCATGTAACACTTATTCTCATATGCTGTTAATTAAAAATCCTGATCAAGTATGCAGTCTTTGCCTATCGAATACAAACATGATTTTTTTTCACTATGACACTATACTATAAGGATAGACGGTCGTACAGATATGTTGTGATTAGTTGGCAAAATGAAGTGAAAAAAAAAAAGTTTCTTTGGCACATAAACATCGTGTTTTCATTGTCTGCCGGACAAGCTATCGTCTTGACTCAACTAATGGGTGGAATAAAAGCAAAATAATGATAAAGTGATAATGGTAATTGCAGTAATGATAGTACTAATGATCATGGAATTATTATAATAATAACAATTAATAATAATGATAATAATAATAATATTAATAATGATAATAATTATAATAATAATAATGATGATAATGATATTAATAACAAAAATAATAGTAACAATGACAGTGATAATAATAATAATAACAAAAATGATAATAATAACAATAACAACATTATTAATAATGATAGTAATAATAGTAATAATGATGCTAACAATACTGATGATGATAATATTAGTAAAATGATAATAATAATAATATAATAATGCTAATAATAATAATAATATGTTGATGATAGTAATGATAATACAATACTGTCAGTGATGCTGACAGTGCTAATCATAAAATAATAACAAATATGATAAAAAAACGTGATAATAATGATAATAATAATGATAATCATCATCATCATAACGGTAATAATAATGATGATAATAGTGATAAACATCATAATGATCATATTGATAATAATTATAATTAATAATAATAATAATAATAATAATAATGATAATAACAATGATAATAATAATAGTAAATAACAATAATAACAATGAAAATGATTTTAATAATATTAATTATAATGATTAAAATAATTATAATAACATTAATGTTAATGATGAAGATGATAATGATAAGGATAAAAATAATAGCAATGATAATGATGATAACAATAGTAATGATACTAATAATGTTAATCATGATAATCTTATTTTAGCAGTTTTCAGGAAAGACAATAATAAGAAAACAGGAGAGAAGATCAATAGAAGTCACACCATTACTTCCTATTCCCTTTTGCCATAAAGAATATAATTAACAAACAAAAGGTAATTTCTTTACGTAGCAGATCAGTAGAGTTCGTTTGAGTTTATTTTCATTCTTAATATTCATGATCATATTTTTGTTTTCTTCCATTTTTACCCATACTTTGTATACATTCATAGATTTATTTATCTGTTTTTGTTTTTGTTTTACTTGATTTATGTCTTCCAATGAACTCAAATTGTGTTCTACATTTGTTATGGTCAGTCTTGTTCAACCCTGTTCTCCTATTCCAACCTGTGGCCAAGGAGCAACCTTGTACCAGGCCAAAATGTATCCTTTTGTTCCAGGCTAAAGTGCCTGACCTTGTCCTCGGCGAAGGCATTCGTCCTTCCCTAAAGAGCCTGAACTTGATTCTTGTCCTCCGCTGGTCCCTTTGGGTCATTTCGTTGTCTATCATTCTATTTGTTCCCTCCTTGGTCGTTCTTTGCATGCAGTGATTACCTCTATCCATCTATTTCTATCTCTAACACTACATTTTTATCTCTGCCACCAGTTTGCCGCTGCGGTTTCTTAGAGATATTTTCTTTGTAAATTTTATTTATTCTTAACAAACTATGCTATCTTGTTTTATTTTGTTTTATAAAATGATATACATTATAAAAAATCAAGATATAAAAAGTCTAAAACGTAAAAAAGATCGAAGAATCCTTTAACCTTTATGGGGTAAAATGAGGGGGATTCCGGCAGTTCCTAAGACACTCATGTGCTCATTCGGAAGGGAAAATGTGCTTCGCAATCCATCTTTCGCATCCCGTCTTGAGAGAGGATCGAAAAACATTCGAAGCCGCTTCAGCTGTTCGTACCTTTCCGTACTCTACGTTCCTTCACCAAAGAATCTTTCACGACAGACAACCAGACCGCGTTCCAGGCCCTGCGTCCCTCGGGCCCTGGGTCCCTCAGGCCCTGCGTCCCTCAGGCCCCGGGTCCCTCAGGCCCTGGGTCCCTCAGGCCCTGCGTCCCTCAGGCCCCGGGTCCCTCCCTCCCTCAGCCCTGCGTCCGGCCCTCCCTCAGGCCCTCCTCAGGCCCTGGGTCCCTCAGGCCCTGGGTCCCTCAGCGAGGCCAGAAGCAGCGCGGAGGAGCAGCTGCGTCTCAGGAGTCGAAGGTTTGGGCGTTCGAGGAGCAGTCGGGCCTCAGGCGTTGGAGGATTCGGTGCTGATGGTCGACTTGAAGCGCTTGAGTTCCTCCTTGATGGCGCGGATGAGGGGCACGGCCGGGTCGGACACGCGGAGGCCGGTGTCGGGGTCCAGGGCCTCGGTGCTCCCGTGCACGCCTGCGGGAGGGGGAGGGGAGGGGAGTGTAGGTCTCTGCTCTCTTCCTTTCTCTCTCTCTCTCTCTCTCTCTCTCTCTCTCTCTCTCTCTCTCTCTATCTATCTATCTATCTATCTATCTATCTATCTATCTATCTATCTATATATATATATATATATATATATATATATATATATATATATATATATATATAACTACCTCTGTCTTATTATCTAATAAGACATGAAATTGAAAAGTGTTTGACACAGGATACGCCGTGATAGTCTATCGGATGACAAAGGGGAATAAGACAATAAAAGCAATAAGATAATAAAACTAACTGATAATAATAGAACAATAAAACTCAATGGAAACTCTTACCCGCCAGATTCAGCCCGAGTCGGTCGGGGCTGTTGGGCGGCATGTTGACGGGCGTGATGCTCCGGGCGCTGCGTCCGCTGCCGGGGCGTCCGCTACTCGGCCTCGCACTTGAGGGTCGTCCGCTGCTCGAGGGTCGCCCGGCTCCGGTCGTGGGATGGGCGCTGGAGGGCCGTCCGCTGCTCGCCCTGCCCGCCCCGTCCCCCCAGGCGGACACCGGGTTCCTGCTCTCCTCCAGGGGGATCACGCCCACCAGCTGCAAGGAGGGAGGCTGGGCGTGAGGGCGGGAGAGAGGGCGAGAGAACGGATGGTGTGTTCGAGTCCCACCAGGGGATCGGTTAGCTTGAAATACATTTTTTTATGAAGTGTAATGGAAATATGTCACAACTAGGGATAAAGTTCCATTTAAATGAGGCGTATTAACAGAACACAGGCTGAAATGTTCTCGGGTCATTCATGTAAGTCAGCTTTCCAACCTTACAAAATCCATCCAAGGGTCATACGTCACCTTAGCACAATGCGTTTTGTTCCCTTGCCTTCCCTTATTACGAGAAGTTCAAGAGAAAACCTACACAAAAAAATCCAAACGATAAACCCTAACATTCTCCCTTAACCACGCATTGCACAAGGAACTAAGACAGTGAAAAAAGACCTGTGGTTCTCTCCACGACGGCGACGCGTGGACGGCGGCGACTGACCAAGGGCGCCCGTCGTCGCCTCCTGCGGCGCCCTGCTCCTCTGGCACCTCCGAATGGCGGCCCCTGGGGGAGCGGGAGGCGTTTCAAAACATCGTTAAGATATGCGTATAGAAGCACCTATTCTCTAGGACTACGGGGATGCCGTTCTATAACACGTTGACTTATTGTGCAGTAAACAGATATGGTCAGGATTTTCAATAGCAGAACAAGTATTACATGTACACGCTATACATGAATTAAGGTGTCATCGATACAGGAGTCCAAAATTACTCAGAAACGATGATGTGGTGTATTACTTTTTCATTGTGTGTGTGTTAATTGTGCATGTTGTATATACACATTTTTTTACATCAATCCTCATGTGCATTTGATATTTTCCGTCAACAAAAATAACTTCTCTAAAGTGGCTAGGTTGTCAGGTACTGTTTATGCGGATTTTATTATTGGATAATACTACTCTACTTCATTTTTATCGGAGGCGAAGATACAGTTAACAGTTGGCGGTGATGATGGCTGGCGATGATAATAATAATCATTTAGTAACATACAAGTTGATGAAAATTATGTGAAACACGATGATGTAATTCAAGCATGTATTCCGAAAATCATCTGCAAATCTCAAATGTCTCTTCGCCTCGATAAAGATAAGCAAATAAAACAGAGGAAAGAACAGTTCGAGAATACCGTTAAAATGTGGTTGTATTGGGAAACGGCAACAAAACTTTAGTAGGTGTGCTTCTAAGATAACTGTACTGAGTGTTTGATGCTTCTAAATTTGACAACTGTGATTCGACGAGACGAGTGCGCGTGCGCGTGCAACACAGACAGGAGCCCTGAGTGTCGGGTATTCCTAACCTTATAAGGGCGTGGAAGCTTGCAAGGTTTGGATGGAAATAGAATTCGTAAATGAAGAGAGAGTATATTCAATAAAGTTTGCATCACTTGTCCAGATGGTGTATTATTGGCTGTATTTTCAGGATCTTGTGCGATTGAAACAAGGCGTGCAAATCCCCGAGAGTCAGTCAAGTACACAAACCTATCCCTATAACAAGTTCATCCATACCTCTGTAAGAAAGCCGCTGACCTTACGCGACCCTTGCGGCCTTGAGTGGGGGTCGTGAGAGGTGTGACCTTATCCCCGTGTCGTTGACCATTGAGCAGAGAGAAGGCGTCGTCCAGGAGGTCGTGGAAGCGACGGCGCAGACGACGCACGTTGGGCGCCGTGCCGTCTGAGCTCCCCGCGTCGGAGGCCTGCGAGGAGGTCGTCGAGGCGCGGCGGACGAGCTCCTGCTGAAGGAGAGCCGGTTAGGTCTCTTTCGTTTCTCTTTCTTTCGAACGATCTTTGTTCCTCCTTCCTGTTCTTGTTTACCTTTTCTATTTTACCTGTCTCTCGTTCTTTTACTCCTCTCTCTCTCTCTCTCTCTCTCTCTCTCTCTCTCTCTCTCTCTCTCTCTCTCTCTCTCTCTCTCTCTCTCTCTCTCTCTCTCTCTCTCTCTCTCTCTCTTTCTGTTGATTTTCGTACCTCTGATTTTAAATATGGAAAATCAGAACTCTCACGATCCCTTTACGAATAAACAGCGAGAGCAGTTTAAGAAGAACGCGCTGTTATACTGCAATAACTGTCTCTTCCTCAAAATCAAACTACCTGACCAATGCTAGAACCATGAAATAGTTTCATGAATGATTCAGATTAATTCTGAAATCCCAGCTGTTTATAACATCTTACATCCTGAATAGAAGTAAATGACACATCAGTCGAGCGTAAACAGCAACCATGCACACCATTCAGTCTACAGCCAATTGCAATTCAAATGCGAAGGATTCCTTCCCGAAGCCGACTGACGGCAGCTCACCTCTCCTGACGAAGACGATCCCCCCGTCTCGTTGTCGATTCGAGCCTCCACCTGCGCGTCCTTCGTCGACGGCCGGAGGGGGGACTGCGAGGACTCCCTCAGAGGCGGAAGTCCTGCCTCCTCCCTGGTGTAGTTCCTGGGCGGGATGGGCGGCGCCTCAGGATCGTAGTCGTAGGACTGGATCTGGGACGGGGTGCCTTGGCCGTATCCTTCGGGAGGAGCCTTGGCGAGAGAGACGCTCTTGGCGGGGCGGGGCGGAGGGAGGAAGCGAGGGAGGGACGTCCCCGGGATGAACTGCGCGTCCTGGTTCCTGTCGAATCCCGTGGGCGGCGGAAGGAGGGGCGGAGGCAAGAAGATCGAGCCGTGGTCCTTGCGCGTGAACTCGGCGGCGCCCTGGAGCATGTTGGCCATCAGCTGCGAGGCGGGGTCGTAGCGGGGGTCGCTGGAGGTCAGGTCGGAGTGGGTCGTGTCGTAGCGGGAGTAGTTGGAGTGTGACGGCTGGTACTGGATGTTGGCGGGGTTGGGCGAGCTGTAGACGGGCTCCTCGGCCTCCTCCATGCCGACGCGCCGGCCGGGCCGCTTCCAGGGGACACTGCTCTTCGGGCGGCGGCCGTCGGGCACCTGAGAGACGCGTGGCTGTAACTCTTTGAGCGATATTGCTTTTCCGTGTTCAGGGAAACGAGAAAGGTCCTGTAAATTTCTTGCTAGTGAAAATGTATGCGAATTGAGCAGAGAGCTACTTTGGATGTCCTATGAAATTCAAAAGACAGAAGAGACGGAGGAAAAGAATCAGAATCGAAGAATCAATGATGTGTCTTTCCTTTACCAACTACATGAATACTGGAAAAAATACTTAGGAAATTGTGTTCCTGTGAACGAGAGATTCTTGTACAGTGGAACCTATAAACGCATGCAATCAGGAAGCTTCTGGGCGCCAAACATCATCCTACCTCCTCTTCCGTGGTTTCGAAGTCCGCCTCCTCTCTGGGAGAGTCCTCGTGAGACTCATCGTCTTCCATTTCGTCCATAGAAGAATGTCTTGAGTGATCTGAAGGAAAACATAACCCTGATATACCCTTTCTTTGTTCCTTAGTTCATTCCACGTTTAATTACATTAGCAAAAGTAATGCGTCGAAAAAAAGTGAAATAAAGCCGCACTGTGAAGCAAAACATCAAAGTCATAATGTTCCTTCATCAGTTAAAAATAAAAGGAAGCGTTTCACTCCATAGTATCTTTATTACAATCTTCACTTTACAGTGCACAGATGGAGGGTAGATTTCAGTCGTATGATTTAGAGCGTGTGACATCTAACCACTAGGAAACAACGTCAGTTTATTTCACATTCCTTCTCTGCTTAGAGCTAAGTGCGATTCATAATATCCTGTATACTTTATGGATTATACAATCCAATATATTTCAGTGAAAATATAACGTAAAAAGTTACCTCTACTGACCTTTTTTGTCTCGGATGAGTAGCTGGTCGTGGGATCCCCCGGGAGAGGCGCGACCCAGCTCGCCTCCTGGAAACTGAGACGTCGAAGGGACGGCCGCGGCGTCCAGCTGTTGATGACAGGGGCTTGATTAGGCTTCTGATAGTAAAGTGATTTGGTGATAGTGGATTATTTTCGTCAATATATCATATTTTTGCTGTATTAAGCTCAGTAACACAGTAAATGTTCTTTGCTGGCGCTGGGTTGATGCTATAAAACAGGGGTGGCCAGCCTTTTGTGAGATATGATCTACTTTTTCTACAGGTTCCCTGATGCGATCTACCAGCCTAAGATTCAAACATATTCCATAAATGTATAATTGTATGTTGTTCAGACATGTCCATCATTATGAATATAAATATAACTCATTCCCAGAAAAATAGAGAAATATAATAATCCAAGTATCATGAGTACTTGGATATGCAATTGCAGCTATTTGCTTCTGAAAGACGAATTATTAACAGGTATAGTAGTGTGATCAACTTAAAACATGCTTGTGATCGACCAGTCCATCGCGATCGACTGCTTGGCCTCCCCTGCTATAAAAGATCAGTCAGAATGAATCAAAAATAAATATCTGTTGATTACTAAATCACTGACCTTCTCCTCTCTGCTGCCAGCATAGGCTAGGTTGAGGTGCCCCGTGTAGGCGTTGGCGCTTAGGTGACTCCTCGGGGTCGCCGCCTGCGAGTGTTCACAACGGGTTAGTTGGAGTGAAGAGAGAGAAAAGAATAAAAAGAATGAAAAGTACAATGAGTAGAGTGGAATGAATAGAGAATAAAAGAAGGGGAATGGAATGCAAGGAGAGCAAAGGAACTTTGGAAGTTATCTGCACTGTTAATTTGAGGGAGAGAGAGCGAAGAGGCAGAGAAAATTGAGAGAAAATACAAGAAATCTATGCACATCGAAGTTCACTACTTTCCCACACACTCACCCCAGTACAACACATCAAGCCATATTCCTATTCCACAAGACGATCTCCATGTGGAGAAATGTTTTGCAAGAAAGAAGGAAAGATATTTCCATTCTCAGAGAACCTGGGTGAAATAACCTCCCCCCTCTCTATTTATCTTTCTATCTCTTGTCTCTCTCTCTCTCTCTTTCCCTATCTATCTATCTTTCTCTCTCTCTCTATATCTATCTATCTATCTATCTATCTATCTATCTATATCTATCTATCTATCTATCTATATATATATATATATATATATATATATATATATATATATATATATAAGAGAGAGAGAGAGAGAGAGAGAGAGAGAGAGAAGAGAGAGAGATATATCTATATCTATCTATCTATCTATCTATCTATCTATCTATCTACATCTCTCTCTCTATCTCTATATATATATATATATATATATATATATATATATATATATATATATATATATATATATATATATATATATATATATATATATAAATGTGTGTATGTATAAATAGCTAGCTAACTATCTTGTTGCTCCCTCTATATAACACAATGGAAAAAGAGTTAAAGGAACTGCCACTGAACCTGCGAGTCCGGCTGGAGGATCTCCCTCTCCCTCCGGTGCCTCTTGTACACGAAGGCGGCGAGCCACACCACGAACACCACCAGCATCGCCGCCCCGATCACGCCGCCGATGATCCAGTAGACCAGCTCGCCCTTCTGCGGCGTCGGGGGCGCCCGCAGGTACTCTGTGGGGGTTGGGGGGGGAGGGGGGTTAGGAGCTGCCATGTTGGGTTCCCCGAAGCGGTTTGTGGTATTGTTGTTTCTACTTTTATTACTGTTATTGCAATTGCTATTATTGTAATAATCGTATTATTATTGTTGTCGTTAGTAGTGTTATAATCATTATCTTTGTTATTGGGATTATCATGATTTCTGATGTCATATTTACCATAGATAATTATGAAATTGTCTCACTATCATTCTCGCTATGAGAAACGTCATTATCAATATAATTATCAATTATTATCATAAATCATTAGTAATAACACTTAATATCATTGTTATCAGTACTATAATCATCCTTCTCAACATTATCAAATTATCATTATTACCATAAATCTTTAGTAAACAGAACTCTGGACGTTACCTTCCGCTTTGACCACCACCACCTGGTCGAGCATGATCGCCATCTCCATATCATCGACGTTCGACATGTTCGCCACGGCCTCGCGGGCGAGGATGGGTTCCTCGTCGTCGAATACGGTGTAGATTAACTCTGTCGTGTCTGTCACGTTGTCGTACGTCACGTTATGGAGTCGTACTTTCACGTTCTCTGCCGTGGTCCGCTTCCTTCTGTTGAGGCCCGTCTCGAGGCGCTCCAGCGATGTCTTTTTCAGTAACGAAGACATGTGTAAGTTCTTTCTCAGAGGCCGTGTTGAGAATTTCGCATTTGAAGGCAAATTGCGGGTTGATTTAGAACCTGGACGAGGCTGTGATGCCTTTTCGTCGTCGCTGAGGACCGCTATGACCTTTCTTCGCATGAGTCCCGGAGACATGTCGTAGATTCTCTCGCCCGCACGAATGTCACGCTTCCTACGACGACGGCGTCTCGAAGGAGGTAAAGGAGTTGTGATGTCTGGAACCTGCCTCCTCACCCGGGCTGTGATCGTGGTGTAGTTCTCGTACGGGTTGCTGGTCGTGGGGTCGATGGCGGGCTCTCTCATGGCCGTATCTTTGGACGTTTCGTTCGAAGCCTCCGCATTCATCTTCAGCTTCTCTCGATTTAGCTTGTTTGCGCTCCGCCGATAAGCTTCTCTATAGGCATCCGTTAGCAATGCCTCCATGCTTGCCCAGTAGAGCTGCGGGTCGTCACTGGCAGGGGGACCTTCCAGCACTGTCCTGACCCAGTACCTCTGGTCTAAAGGCACCGTGGCGTTGTTGCTTGGGCTCGGCGGGCTTGGTTGCACGCCCGTCGTCAGCTCTGTTGTCGCGGTTATTTGGGGTCTTTTTGTTGTTGTCGGGGGCGTCTTGGTCTCAGTTGATGACGTGGTGACAGCTGTTTGTGTTGTTGCTGCTGTTGGTGGTGCTGTTGCTACTGATGCTGTTGTTGTTGTCGCCGCTGCTGCTGCTGTTGTCGTTGGTGTTTCTGTTGCTGTTGTTGACATGGGTGTTATTGCTGCTGAGGATGACGATGACGTGGATTGTTCTGTGATCTGGGAGCTCTCTGGTGACGAAGTCATCGGTATAGTGGTTATTGGGTTCTGTGGCAGAGTGGTTAGTTCAGTCACTGACGAGGGAGTTGATGATAAATAATCAGAGGGTCTGGTTGCCACCGTCTCCTCAACCGAAGGGGTGAGTGTCGACGCTGTAACGTTAGACGGCTCACGCGTGGACGTCGGGAGGGTGAACGTCGTAGGACTTGTTTCAGGAACGTCAGTCGTTGCTCCTGCCGAAGGCTCGAGCGAAGGAAAAGACGAATCTCCGATCCCAGACGATGAATTGGTCGACGTCTCAACTGAAGAAGAATTAGAAGAGGAAGTAGTTACTGTAGATCCTGCCTCCGTCTCCTTGGTGCCATTGCCACTGTCGATATATATCACTGCGCCCTCGGTGTCCTTATCGACATGAGGCGGGGCCGTTGCGAAGCTCGGGGAGACCGTTGGCGTCTGGACTGGCCCTGGGAGAGGGGAGAAACAGTCTGCTGGGGAAGGCGGGGTCACCTGCAGACTCGGCAACACGCTGGTCGTCTCTATAGGCAGCGGAGTCGTCACCGGCGTCGGCTTGAGCGGCAGAGAGACGACAGACATGGACGACTCAATCCCGGACGAGGAGAGGGTCGCCATCGCCTCAGAGGGCGAGACGGCAACCGCGGTCCCGTTTTCGGTGGCACTGGACACCAGATTAACGGAGGTGACGGTGCCGGCGGGGAGGATGGTGACACCATCTTCTTTTCCTACTGCAGAATCGTAGATTCCACCGCTAGGGTCTGTTGTATCATCTGTTGTATTTTCTGCTGTGACTTCTGTTGTCTGTTCTATCGTCCCCTCTTCAGTTCCACTTTCTATCGTATATTCTGTAACAGGTGTGGCAATTCCAGCATCACCATTACTCTCCATACCACCGCTGCTTTGTGGCATTTCAGTGGCACTCTCATCACCATCTTTGCTTGGTATTGCTTCCCCGTCTCCACTATAACCATCATCACCTTCGTCAGTGAAGTTGCCGCCTCCATTGGCACTGCCTGCAGCTGTGGCATTACCATCCTCTGCTTGGCCGTCAGCATCGCCACTGCTAACACCAGTGTCATCACCACCAGAGCCTATAGTGCCTACAGTAGTTGCGACACCACTTTCATCACTATCGGCAGATGCATCACTGCTAATTGTTGTGGTGACGCTGTCATCTTCACCACTCGTTTTTTCGCTGTCAGACTGACTGCTTACCGTAGTTTCTTCACCATCATTACCTATAGTGGTATATTCACCATCAGCCTTATCGACGGAGCCACTGTCTCCACCGCCAGCAGCCGTGCCGTCACCATCACCGCTTCCATCACCGTCGCCAATGCCAGCACCACCTTCCCCAGCAGCCACAGAGCCATCCCCACCGCCGAGTGCAGGATCTTCACCACCAGCGCTTTCAACTCCAGTGTCATTAAAATCACCGCTTCCGAAAACGGCGTTGACACCACTGCCATTGTCATCACCATCAGTCGTGTCGTTGCTATGACCACTTCCATCAACAGCGCCATCTCCACTGCCAACAAATACACCGTCGCCACTGCCAACAACAGGGTCACCACCACTGCCGAGGCCGCCATCTCCACTTCCAATGACAGAACCATCACCACTGCCAACAACATCACTATCGCCGGTGGTAT